CGCATTGACCTCCATGGACTCTGCCTCACATTATCAAATTCATCTCTACGATCAAAGTATGTATCATCACTCCCTCTCATCCTCTTCTCAAGAACCAGATTCTCAGCCATTTCATCAAGATACAAAGCGTAAGACCTCACAAAACTAGAATGATCCCACGAATTCGAATGTGCTTCATCTCTAAAACTAGACAGATCCAAGACTCGTATACCTTTCCGCGTAGCGTACACAATTTCCTCTCCAAAAGAGGAATTTCCATCAATCAAAACCCTGTGCACGACCACTAGCGCCTTGAGCGCAACTATCCAATCGCGAGTCTTACTCAAACGTTTAGAGATCGTAATCACACACGCACTCACATATCCATTCGAAGTCGAGCACCAATTCACAATCTCCCTAATATACCTGTGGTCGGCGGGATCCTCGTCGTGGCTCGTCGCCTTGACCACCAAAACTTCAAGCTCCGACGCCGTATTTCCAGCGACTTTAGCCATGCTAATGCTCGTTTGGTCCTTCACAGCTCCGAGCGCTTTCCTGATCGTGCTTTGAGCCATTGACTACAAAAATGAAAAAATTTTGAGTTCGCGTCTCACTGAAATGAAATCAGTAATTCCAGTGTAATAAGTACGTTGAGGAGTAGAAGAGAACACTCAGCAATGGCGATGATGAAGAAGGCCGTATGACCAAAGAAGCTGTATGGAAGAGAGAACTGAAAGGGGTTTATTCAGACGTACTGAAACCGAAAGGACGTTTAAGAGAGAGAGGGAGAGAGATATGAAATCCATAACGTAAGAGAGGGAACGGTGATGCTCATTTCATTAAAACGACATCGTGCTCAGTTCTAATTGTACGCTATACAGATGCTGCCACGTGGCTTCATATCTTACTTGCACGCCAAGAATCAAATAGCGCAATGTTTGAAAATGTCAATATCTAAAAATTAATTAATCTCTTTGACATTCTCTATAAATTTTAATATTATTAATATTATTTACCAAGTTCTATTTAAGTTGACTTTATTTACACAATAATGATTAATTTTAAATTTTATTAAAAGTACACCCTCATTAAACTAGTATTTAAACCTATATTTAATTAATTCGATCACTTTTTTCTAATTTGAACCTAATTTAATAGACAAAGCACCTATTATCATACCAAGTTCGATCTTTCTAACTCCCACCTTCCTGTCATGAAACTCAAACCAATTCTATCCATTATCGAGAAAGAAAATATTATTTCAGAGAGGGTAGCGAAATTTTGATAAGAATAGCGAAATTTTAATGAGTAGACTAACCCAATGGATCATCTACCATAACATCACTCGCTCACGCTAACAGTTCAAACTTTCCTGTTAGCCACACAACTTGTGTCTAAGTATATCACCACCAATAATCATCAGTCTTCACCTATTGTTTCTGGTAGCTAAATATTCACATCCTCTGGCAGCAAGGGCTCTATGGTTGCTTATTCAACTCTGGGATGCTGTCCACAGAGGTTCTTACACAGCCTCCAGGCAGCAGGAATCTGAACTTGTCTGCATTCTCTATCAGGTATGCAGGAAGGTGAATAGCTGAGGAAGAACGAGGAATGGAGCCCATCTTCTTAATCAACTCCTGGAACGTGTATTCTTCGGGAAGCATGTCAAACAGATCATCTCCCTGGCAAATGAGCTTCTGAATCCTTGAGTAATTCATGAACTCTTGCCGCCTTACACGGTCTGCGTGGCTATAAGCTGTCATCTTGAATGCAAAGTCTTGAATGCTCCTAAAGCAAAAGCTACAATGCCACCCTGCATCCGAGAAAATTAGATCGGTTTGGCGAGAATGCCTGTAATGATTCTGTGGACCATAGATGTGAACTGAGGCTCGCCAGCTGCTGAAGTCCACAGGGAACTCAAAAGAATACATGTAATTCCTCATTTCAAGATGGACTATAGGAGGCACCTCATCGCACCATTGCAGGAGTTTCACAGTATGTGGGCTCGGAATCTCATCAGTATCTGTCATGATCAAAAGATCACCAACTGAAATCCCTGCGCGCTGAAGTAATCCGTTCATAGCGACGCGTTGCTGGGATTCAAGGTCAAATGGGTTTCTATAGGACTCACGAGAGTCAACTTGTCCAGAAAAAACATCATGGACGGTTTTATTTTCTGCAAAGGCAAACCTATCTCGATTTATTTGGAATAGTAATGGCTTGTGTATGCCTGTAAAAGTGGTGTATGACTCCAGAATTACAAACTTCCAGACATATGGGTAAAGCTCCCGCCATCTGATTTCAAGCAAATCTAGCTCATTGCTGAAGATGATGGCATCAAAAACACGACGAGGTGTGGATCGTAAAGACCAGCCATGGAGGCGACAAAGGTGTTCCATCGACACATTTTCTGCATAGTAGTGTGGCAGGCGTATAAAAGGGGGTGGAGGGCTGTCCCAAAGTGGGCGGAAGAAATAAGAAATCTTTTGGCCATAATTGAAAATGGTAAAGACACTGACGGGAACAAGCATAAGAAGCATAAAAAGATATCTGGGTCGTATTCGTCTAGAATTGACCCGAACAGATTTTGCAGCCATTGTTTTAAGGGAGAATACTATGGGAAGGAAGCTACAGACGCAATGTTTTAGGTACAGGTCACAGAGCAGTCATGGTCTCATCACTGTTGGTTACCTGAGAAAATTGCCAACATATTACTCACCAGAAGAAAAGGGATGGGGAACAGCATTTATGTGTTCAATTCCATTTTCCATGCCAAACCTACCACTAGCAGATATTATCTGTTTTGACTTGTTACGAATAGTCGTCAGCCTCATGGTTTAAAAATAGGTTTTCACACCTTTCTAAGAAATGTTTTGTTTTCCTCCTCAATGTGTGATCTCACAATCTACCCTTTGGGGCCAGCATATTGCTAGCACACTAGTCCAAGCCCATCACTGACAAATATTGTCTGTTTTAGCCCGTTATATATTGTCATCAACCTCACGGTTTTAAAACGCGTTTGTTAAGAAAAGGTTTCCACACACTTCTAAAGAATGCTTCGTTCTTCTCTCCACTCTCCAACTGACATGTGGAATCTCACACGTTATCCATGGACAAGATTATAGTATTAAGCTAGCTAGGGGAGGACAAATTCTGGATGAAAAATTAAGATGAAGGTAGTAAAATCTAATATCATCAAATCATTATGAACACGACTAGCCGACCTTCTTGAACAACAAACCACTATTGTTTTCAAATGAAACAAAACTTTCGTTAAAGGAATATTATCAAGCAGTAGACAATGAATTTCGTTGTCAAGAACAGAGAACAAAATAAGCAGGCTGGAGGAAAGGATAGAGAGAAAAACTTCACATTATACTTGCCAAGATGAAGCTACCATTTTCTCATGATAATGACTTGCAAACTACTTAAAAAGCAATTAAAATAATCCATAATCCCGCCAGTTAGACAGAGTTCAAACATGGCCTCTCTACGTTAGCTGAAATTGAAAAGATCAACGATCTGAATTTCATATCAATCGACTCTTTTGTTGACAGATCCCCAAAAAATACATCTAGTTGCCATGATCATTCTAACTTCGATACTATTAGCTTCTATGAACGTCTCCGAACCTCAGCTACACTAGATCCTCCCCCAATCATCTTAATGACAAAGACTCTAAAGGTTCATAACATCAAGGAAGACACCTTGGAGCAAGAATCGCCCTTATTTTCATCACGCAGAGTCAATTAATCGCCAGAAAATGAACGAAAACAGAACCACAGCATTCAAAACCCCCCATAATGATATCTATACAGCAAGATTCGGCACTAAAAAAGATGAACCTCAGCAACCGATCAATTTACCTGGATGAAATCGCATAAGAACTGCAATTAATTGGCTGTCGAAACATCCCTGCCGGTGCCGGAGAGAGAAGGCAGAATGAAGAAATTTCGGCTTCTCAGCGGTGCAGAAATTGGAAGGTAAGAAAATGGTGACCGGATTTAAGATGAAGAAAGGGAAGGTAATGGGAACCACTAGAGTGCCGGGATGGAAATTAATTGGCGGGACGGCGTTGGATTAATCCGTTATTGTAATTGCTGTAGCGCAGAAATTATGGGGCCGTAACATCCAACATGGGTCCTCCACTGCCCGGGCGTTGACTGTGTTAGGCCACCAGCCGTAATGTGAGGTCCCTATAATTTAGCACCCAAATCCTATTTTAATGCTTCCATTCCTAAATTTTTTAAGGCTTTGCGACTCCAAACTTCAAATAGAAATCCTATTATCATACTAAATTCCTACTTTATTTATGCTATAAATTTTCATTTTTATCCCAAAAATTTCAACCTCATTTTTTAAAATATATATTTAAAATGTTATTCGTTATAAAAAGATGAACTTGATACCACAACTTTGTTAAAAAAAAAATTAAGTTGAAAAAGACTCTCAAAGAACCATATAAATAGTCTTATTTAACTTGAAGAAGTTAAAGCTCTTCTACAAATAACTCCTAGCTAACTTAAGTGATACTGGGTTGTAAGTATCATGTCAATGTCCAAGTTTATTTTGTCTTGTAGGGTACGTTCTTCTCCTTATATACTTATCATATCATTACGTGAAGGTCTTTAGAGAAAAGAAAAAACATACGACATTCGAACAATGAATAAAGATATAGAAAAACAACCGTTAAATCAGATAGAAAATAATTCATACGAGAATCATTATCCACGAAGGTCGGAAAAAGTTACATCTCAACTAGGGAGACGAACTGCACATGAATTAAATGCAAAGTTTACCTTGTTATTCATTATAATAATAATTTATATTATATAAAATAAATAAATAAGAAAAAAAATGGTGTATGGGCCACATGGATAAGTGGCCCAATCTCTGTCTTTAAACCAACACAAGCGGCCTAACTCTCAATCTGAGGGCCCAAGTTCTGTAGTAATTAAATAATATATACATCCAAACCTTAAAATTATTTTAGTTTCATCGAATTATCTTGACAGGTTAAAAACACTGAAGTTAACCAGGTTAAAAAGAAAAGTTACCGAGTCATAGCTGAAGTTTTATCCATATATTATAACACATACAGTCATTAAAACCTCAAGGGCTAAAGAAGAAAAACGGGAAAAAATGTATTTTTCAGTTAGATGGCATCTGATTCTCCTACCGCCGACGCCGGTAACCCCTCATTCAGCCACGGTTCTTCTCCAATTTGATCCGTTGTACGGTTCCGATGAAATTCCTGTCAAAATAACAACAAAAAAAAACCCATAAATTTATTGGACACCTTTTGAATTTCCCATAAATTTAAATTATTTTTTTATATTGGTTATTTCTTTGAATATTTAACTTTACCTCCAAGTTACGTCGTCGGCAAGTAACCAGTCACCGTCGATATCCTGGTAAGTGAGTCTGTGACTGTCGGGGTCCATCTTATCTGTTTCCAAATAACCTAAAATCAGTACACAAAAACCAGCACGAACTCACACCCATCCGGAATTCACTATTCTGAATAGGAATAAGAAAACAATCTTACCAAACATCTTCATCAAAGTGGCTCTAAGTTGGTCAAAACAATGGTATTGGCTCAAATCAACCTTCCTACCAATCCCAACTCCCTCCATCTTCACCTTCACGTACCTCGAATTCGAATTCCAATTCAACCCGCCGCCATTCACCGCTGGCCGTCCCCGTCCTCTGCGCTTCTGCATCAAAGACCTCGTCTTCCTCTTCTTAAGTGGCGGCCACCCCACAAGCCTATTATCCTCTTCATCTTCGTCCTCGTCTCTGTCAAGTAAACCAAAGATATTCAGCCTCAAGAAATCAACCAAAATCCGAAATGTAAAAGAGGAAAGTGAGCGTACGAATCATTCGAGGCGGAATGGGGATCGTTGTCATCGTCATCGCCATTATTGGGATGGTCGTTCCAGAGAAGCAGAGGAAGTGTTCGACGAAATGCCGAAGAGGGGTCGACATGGAGAGGGCGCTTCTTGCGAATGGTGGAGGTCAAATCGAGACAAGAGGCGGTGTCGTGAAGGAGAAGGGAGTTGTTTAGGTCGAAGGGCTTGGCGGGGATTAGAGAGAGGCCTAATTGAAGCTCCATAGGGATAGGGGGAAGAAAATCCGAACAGGAAAAGAACAAAGATTGGATGAATATTAAAAAAAAAAAAAGGATGGGATTGAAGGGAAGTGTGGGGTTGTTGGTGGCGAGGGCGAGGGCGTGGGCGGGGGTTAAAAGAGGAGGGGAGTGCGTGCGGGTGTGGGACAAAGGTGGGGACAAAGTGTTGGGGAGAGAGGCCAAAAACGTCTAAGATGTCCGTATCAATGCTCTGCCTTTGGCCGACCCAGTTGCCCTGCTGTCCCTTTTTTTTCACCAACATTGTTTTCTGAACCTCCAACACTCTCTTTTCCCCTCAATCCACTCCCACTCGCCAACCTTATCCACATCCTTTCTTTTTCTTTTTTTCTTTTTAATATAAATTTTAAATAGAGACAAAATAAAGACGGTCTTTTTTTTTTCTTCTTCTAAACAAAAACCTGAAGGTTGAAAGATTAAAAAAAAAAAAAAAAAAAGCAATGTAATCTAAAAAAATAAAAATAGATTTAATCATTCTATAAAAATAAAAAATAGAGAAAGGAAATGAACGAGTCTCGACGGTGTAGACACGCTCCCCGTGTGCGCGTGAGAGATGTGGTTTTAGTGGCGGTGGACAGATTTTAATTCTCTGCGTCCTATGCCTTCGGGGCGGGTACAAGCATAGTCAAAATCCCAGTAATTGGGGGGTCCATCTCCAGTTAAAAATCATTTTTATAATTTTGACCATTATTTTTCTACATAAACTATATTACAAAATATTATTTTAGTTTCTATTAGCATAGTTAATTATTGTTTTTTTTTTAAAAGAAAATTAGTCTATATTAACCTTTTTATTTAAAAATTAAAAAATATATTCATATTAAAAAAAGAAAGGCAATAAGTAATGACTAAAATATAATAAAACATAAAATAATATTTTAATCTCTTATTATTTTTATATCATTAGTCTCGATGTTTATCATTGCCATTCTGTTTTTTATTATTTTATTTTGGTTCTTTGCATCTAGATTATGATATTTTTTTTAAAACGTACTTTGTACCAAATTAATTATCATATGATATATAAACATCATAATACCAATCGGATAAATAAGTTTTATTCTTAAAAAAGAGCATTTGACTGCTTTATTAATAATTCCTTTAGATCTGTGCGAGTAAATTAAATAATATTTAAAGGATAAAATACCATCTTTCATTTCATTTTCAAATAAATAAAATATTAACACAAAATTACTGACTATTTTCTATATAATCAAAATAATAAAAGCAACTGAAAAATCGGCCACGTCAGGCTTGTGGGGGGTGAAAAATGGGGACAAACCGTAACGGAACACATTTAACAGGTGCGGATGATGTCGGTGGATGGAAGAGAGTGGCGAGGGGTCACGTGTCATAAAAAGACATGAGGTGGCCGGAAATAACGGAGGTACATTGGATTGGATGGTGAAAACATGTTTTGTCAAAGTCGACTGAGACTGCAGGGCGGTTGGATTGGTCCACGTTGGAATTTGATGGTGGTGAAGCCCATGTGGATTTCTGGTCCAGCCCATTTGAACAGGACCACTGAGCTGGACCTCTTAGCGTTTTATTTTTATTATAAGTGTCATTTTCAAGGCGACGAGTCCAAATCAGTGGTAAGTAACCCTTATTGGAGCGGTGGTTAGTTTACGCTCTTTTCTCTTCAATTCTCCACCACCTTCAAAATCAACCCTAACTCCTTTTCATTTCTTTTCCTTAGCGTATCTAATCACTTGTCGCTTTTCGCGAATAGTCGGAGACGACTTGGTCTATGATAAGTAGCAGGTCTCTTCAGTTGAATATAAATTCTTCGTCTCGTTAAAATCATTTTAAATTTGAAAGCTTTATATCTTGAATAGTTGAGCCCTCTTTAATAGTTTATTTTAGGTATGATTAATATATTAGAAACGTGAAATAATAGAATTGAATAAAGCAATCTCCATGAATGAAGCTCGATCTCTCAGAATCATTCCACTTTAATACAAATAGTGTTTTTTGTCCTTTTGAAAATTTGAGTGCAGACAAGATATTTGAGCATAATAATTTCATTTTACTTTGTTTTTTTTTTCTTTTTTTAAATGCGTATAATTCTAAATAAAGAAATAAAAAGGTGGGTGGGCCATAAAAATCCATTCCAGAAGATATTGTAAAGGGTTGGTTTTGAAAAAGTGGAATGAAGAAGAAGAAGAAGGGTAGAGAGGTTAGGTTTATCACAAAACACAATCAGTTGGGTTAGTGATTGTGAAAGCAAATTCTAACTTTTATCAAACTTTTACAATGTCCACGCAATACTATACTTGATATGAAGTGTGAGGCTTACATAGATATGCTTATGTTAGGTGAGATAAATTTCGAATTACTTACCGGACCCACCTCGAACGGGGAGGGAATTCCCTATTTAGAGAGGGAATAGAGAAGGGAGTAGTAAACATTTTTCCTCATTAAATAAATGGACGGGATTATATTTCCAGTCCTCGTCCCACCCAATTACCCTCCCTACCCAATTTGATCCTAAAAATAAATGAAAATTTTCGTAAATCTAGATCCCACTTCGTCCCAAGACATTTCTAATGGTGTGTATGAATGGCGAATAGGAGGCTGAGGAGAGAAGTTTGGGCCGTTAAAAAGCTTCACCCATTCAGTCTATGAACGCAGGTCCAATGAGAGCGATTGTGTCGGGGCGGCCCATTCAAGGATGTCAAATTGAACTGAATTGTGCATCCCAAGTAATAGAGAAAGAATGTGTGTTTTGAAGTGGAGAAGTGGAGAACCCTAAACGAATTCCCATTACCCTTTTCACCCATTGCTTCAAACACACAGAAAAAGAAAACCCATTAATTAAAAGTAGAAGAAGAAGAAGAGAAATGACAAGTTTTTAGTTGCTCCCTAATGGAGGAGGCTCAAGGCAGGGCTGGTTTCCCGGCGGTGTCTGCGCTTAAGGTTGAACAAGGGCCTTCACTTATGCCCTCTTCTCTGTGTCTGTGCGTGTCTTCCTTTCAAACTCAAATCCTCCTATGGAACAACCACTTATGAAAATATGGACATTAAAATAATATTAGTCCTACAAAGAGAGGCACAATCAAAAGGAGTTGTTTTTTTTTTTCTTTTGTTTTGGTGGAACAATCATTGAGCTGCATGCGCATAAGAATGAAGAAAGTGTATTGGTTTTTATTATTGAGTACAAACTAAGCATCACACCAAAACCCACCCTAAAGTAAGTGTCTTCATATCCCTCTTCACATCATTTTCCTCACCTTCTTCAACCCTATTCCTTCCCCCAAATCCTCCTCTCCTCGACCTCTAACAACCCAAGTTCAATACTAGCGGATATTGTCCGTTTTATCTCATTACATATTGTACGGTTTGTAAAAAACGTCTTTAAGGAAAAAGTTTTCACACCCTTATAGAGAATTTCCTTTCCCCTATGATGTTTTAAAAACCTTAAGGGAAGCTCGGAAGGGAAAACACAAAGATGACAATATTTGCTAGCGGTGGACTTGAGCTGTTACAAATGATATCAGAGTCAGACACCGGGTGGTGTGCCAGCGAGGATGCTAGGCCACCAAAAAGGTAGACTGTGAGACCACACATCAGTTGTAGAGATGAACAAAACATTCTTTATAAAGATATGTAAACCTAAAACTAAAACGGACCATTTTAAATGTGAGTCTTAGATGTTACAAAAACTTTGTCTTAATAAGTGAAGTTTAATGATGATTGTTGATGACTTTTTGGGACCAAACTTGAGCTCACTTTCCTACACAAGTCAATTTAAGTTCAAATGAACCAAGAGTTATAAAGCAAGTTCTTAGGTTATGTTGTTTCCTATTGCTATATGCTGTTTGCCCTAATTTATGAGTTGGTGGGCTTTTTTTGAAAGAGATTACTAATCCCACTTGATGAAGCTATCTATGTATGTATGTATGGTTGTTATATTGATATCTATCTCTTTAATATTCTTCCCCACCACACCAACAAAACCACCAACTCTCTACCTCCGACTCCACTCACTCACCCTACCTTCTTTTTCTCCTCTAAAAACACTCCATTAACTTCATTCTCCACCTAAAACCAAAAACACCCAAAATATTATTCATTTTGTTCTTCTTTTGGTGCCTTCAAATGGGTCCAATTTCTGGTGTTATTTCATTCAATAATTCTTCCTTCTTTTTGGCTCCTCAGTGGACACCTTTTCATACCCAAAAACAACTTTTCCTTTCTTATTATATAACATCAATCCTCCTCCCATTGGGTTTTACCACATTCTTCACTCTTCTTCTTCTTCTTCTTTCTCTATGTTTGATCTGCTTTCAAAGGAGGGACCGAGATGAGAGGAATCCGCGCGAGACTCGGAAAGCGATATTGGTGAGGTTCAATCGGAAGACGAATTTTACCAAACTTGTGTAAAGTCCGATCTCTGATTGAGCCGCGCCAATATCACTTTTGTATCACGTAACTTTCTTCTCTTCTTCCTTCTCGTATATTTCTAGGGTTTCAGTTTAATCGAAATCCTAGTTTTTGTTTTTCGATTATTGCCTCTTCTTTTATACTACCAAAAAAATCATCATCGTTTTCGTCGCCGTCGTCATCGACACAATGGGTTTTATCATCAATTGTCGGATATTCAACCAACCAGAAGATCAGGTATCAGTAGGGTGCTGTTTAATTGTACTCTCTCTATACATGTCCATGCATGAATATAGTATATGTTCATTGGAGTTGAATTATATTAGTGCTTTTTGTTTGCTCTTCTTTTCTAGAGCTTGGTAGGTGAGTAGGAAAACAACACAATACCTAACTACTTCCTTGTTGTTTATTCAAATGCAGCTACATGCAGAGCTCTATAAAACAAATAATTCATAGAAATATGATATGTGTATTATAGTTAAATTTTGACAATAACATCAAATCATACTTTAAAGGAAATAGGAGATTGACTCAGACTCGGAGCGAGATTGAATTAGATAGGTCAAGCTAGCCGAACTCAGCCAAGCCAAACACCATGGGACAGGGTCAATTGAAGTATTAGAGATGCTATGTTTAAACCTTAGATTAACCCATGTAAGAAACGCCATCAAACCTAACTTAAACTCAAACTTACTCTAAATTTGCTACATTTTTTAACTCTTTGATTATGTATGGGAATGTAGGGTAACAATCACATTCTGCATTTATACGTTCAACTGTTCTAATATAATTTCAAAACTATCATAAATATTTATTCGAAACGTTATTATAATTTTTTTAATTACATCTTATTTAAAAAAAAAAAAATAGTCACAAGAAGCTTTTATTAATAAGTTATTTAATTCTACTTTTTTTTATTTTTTATTTAATATGTTTCTATATTTTAGAGAGTTTCTTATAATTACTTAATTTCAATTTTTTATCTAATAATTATTTAAATTTTTAATTCTTTCTCGTCCATCTATCTATACAACTTTTTTATTTAAAAAAAAATAATCTATTAAATAAAAATTAAAAGTTTAGATTATATATATATAATTATTTTTTAATTACAAATAAAATTGTGTGTATATACAAATGAATTTGGCAAAAATATTTTGACCAATAAAACAAAGTCAAAAGGGTTGTCGTTTTCAGGTTCTCTGATAACTGTTTCCCGCTTTCACAGCGAAACCAACGAACAAGCCAGAAAGGCTTTTTCTGTTACGCCCTCATTTCGTGTTTTCCGAACCCTAGACCTGACTGAAAATCGCATTAAGAGTTCAAGACTCTGCTCTTCCCAAATCAATACTTGAAAATCCACCATTCATCCTTCTACTACCTGAATTCTGTACTGCAGGTCCATTCATGCCTCGCATTGAACCGAATATTCCGGATTCATGTTGTATCTCGCCTCGGTTTCGGAGCAACAGTTTTCGTCGGAGTCTTCGCTACCAGAGGCTTCCGTCGCGGCTCCTTCACCTCTCCGTCTTGAAATTGGACGGTTCTTCCTTCGGTAACCTTTCCCCCCTTTGTATGGAAGCATATATCTTGAAAATCTAGCTGTGTTGGACAACGCATTTCTGTGAATAATCTGTGTATGTTTTAAATGTTTTTGATATTGATTTGAGATTTATTTTCCAAAACGTTTGGATGTTCTGCCATCGGTTGTTCCTTTGGTAATGTGAATGCTTAGAGGTGCAAGTTGCGAGGAAAGCGTCTGTGGCAAAGCTTAGAGAGGCGGTGGAGAGTGTTTTCTGTGGAATGTTGATGAATAGAGAAGATGTCAAGATTTCATGGTACAGTGTTGGGGATTTGGACTACTGAACCGCGCATATTAATCTAATCTGTTTGATTGAAAATGTGTTCAATTGTTTAATTAGTTGGTGCAAATGCAGGCCACATGTGTGGAGTCATTTTTGCTTATGCTATAAACATTACAAGCTGATCGACGAGAAATCGCGTATCAAACGCTTTGGAATCAGGGATGGTGATCTGGTATTCCCCTCGAATGCTTAACCTGCCTTAATAGTTTTCTCTGTTTGAGTTCTGTCTTGTATTTGATCGAGTAATTAATGAGTTCTATGTTCCCCCATGCAGCTGCATTTTGTGAACCGTATAGCTTAATTTTCGCCAAGAATCAGTGGATTTGAGATGGCCCAAAAGAATGTATGGATAGAGGAATATAGGCAGGCTGGTTGAATGGCTTCTGGTATAAACTTGTCAGAAGTTTTTGGGTGTGAATTATTGTGAAGTGGTCAGATGGTTCTTTTTTTTTTTTTTCATTTTTTTCTTGATTTTTTACGTTCCTGATGCTAAATTTGAAGCCTTGGTTTATATATATATAACAAGATGAACTACATTTCGTTTGTGCCACATAAGACTTCACTTTCCTTTCGTCCAATCCAAAAATGAAGTCCATTAGTTCAGCCTCTAAGGTATTCAAATTGCTCTAAGAAGAGAATAGAAGGAAGAATGGCAATGAAGATATGCCCAAGTGATCTGACATTGATACATTTTGCAGGAGAATCTGAGAGGATGAATGCCATTATTGCCCGACCAACTTGATGTTATGGGGAGTGCAAGCTCTACAGTGTGAAGCTATGAACTTTGAAGATTTTCAGCTGAGATTATATGTTTCTGTGGCCTTAATTTATGCACTTAGAAAATTATTTTGTCTTGTAAGTTGAGACTTGGAAAGAATTCATAAATTTTAATGCTTTAATAATTTCTTTATTAAATAAATCGTTGCCTAAAAAGTTTAGGCTTTTAAACATGAATCAGAATGAGCATCAATGACCACCTACTACTTCTCCTTTCCTCTTAAAGATCATGGTTTAGGTTATTGGGTAAGACTGCAATTACAGGGTTTCTAGGATCTTTGAAACTAAGATTGATGGAATAATTAAAGCTAGATAAGATTCTTGGGCCATATTAAAGAAACAAATATGATTAGCATCCTTTTATAAAGTTAGTATTCTCAATTGCTGATTAGAAAGAGTGGTGGTAATTTAGGCTGACAAATGATGCATTAATGGTGGAATTCCTCAAAGAAAGGAAGACTTCATTCATATTCCCCATAAATGTTCAAGAAAGATACATCCACAAAAGAGCACCGAAACTGAAAGCGACTGCAAATAGACAACCATGACGCTGGAAGATCTCGTGTAGCTGTAAGTTACATATGACTAACAGGGTAAGGTAATGCAGACCCACAAAAGAAGATCCAATTGGGAAGTAAAGCTAAATATTTCCCATTTCCACTCCCATTCTGCCTCTGGTTCTGGCAAATATTTGAATGATATAGAGAAATAAACATGGTTCATATGTAATATTATCCCAACAAATCCAGTTATCAAGCACGAACATTTCCGACCTATGTTTACTTTTCAACATCAGAGAGGAATTAGAGATTGGTCACCTTATATGCTGCTTTCCAGTGTTCAGTGGAGATGCTCTGAAGCTTTGAGAGTAGGTGAGGCCATCAGGTTTCTTCTTGCGCCTCCCTTGTGAAGATAAGCGGCAGTGAGACGTTAGGATGGCGAGATCGTTGAGATCTTGCAGTGGAGTCAGAACCTTCACGATTTCGTCCATGGTTGGACGTAGTTTTGGATCCCTGCTGAGGCAACTGCAAGCAAGCTGGGAGACCTTCTGCACCCCTTTAATGGAATAGTTGAATTCCAAACGGGGATCCACTATATGATATAGCCTTCTTTTATCAGCTAAATATGGTCGAGCCCATGAGACAAGATTTTGTTCCCCACTCGGACGTTTTTTGTCCATGGATCTTCTCCCCGTTACAATCTCAAGAAGCACAACACCAAAGCTATAAACATCGTTTTTAGATGTCAGATGTCCTGTGATCAAATGAACAAAAGTTGAAATTTTGTCAGATATCAGTTAATGCTAATGGGAAAATTGGAAAATGCAACGTTCTTTGAGTTGCCACTCGGTATAAAGGCAGCAAGGAGAACAAAAAAGATAACCCTCAAGTATTGGATTCCCATCTCCCAGAACTCAAGCTGGTTGTATGTTATCGTAGGAATGAGAGAGTTCTCAAGCTTCCTAAACAAGATAAAAAAAAGATCTGGAATGTTTTTCCCTGCCTTTTGAACTTAACTAAGAGCTATATTATCCATTCTTATCTAATCATTTGATCGAGCTGCTTAAAAAGTTCATCCAGTCACTATTTTTGGACCTCTGGAACAAATCCAAATAGTCTGCACAGAGAGCTTCTGTAGTTTAATCCTTGCCAATCTAGAGATCAGATCCCATTAACAACTTCTAAGTTATAGTTCGTCGCAGCAAAAGCTTGCATAGATGTTTTAGTATGAAGGGGTTTCGTCTAGATAAGAACATATTTTATAGAAATGTACCTGTCATTACATATTCAGGAGCAGCATAGCCATATGTTCCAATCACCCTAGTAGAAACATGTGTTTTGTCCCCTTGAGGTCCTGCTTTTGCAAAACCAAAATCCGAAAGCTTTGCATTGTATTCCTGTAAAATCAATGTCATATTTATAATGAAATAAAGGAATGAATTAAAACGTTTTGAACATGGCCATTTGGAACATACAGAATCAAGCAAGATGTTGGATGTCTTAAAATCTCTATAGATAACAGGTACTGGACCGCTATGAAGAAAGGCCAATCCTTTCGCTGCTCCAAGGGCGATCTTAATCCTATTGGACCATGGAAGAGGTATAGTCCCTGCACCAGTCATGAAGATAAGCATCTGTACCTACTGCTTGTCTGAAACTAAGACTGTAGTGTAGTTAATTGAAACTTCGAAAAGGCAGTCCCTCCCCATACTAAGCAACTCGATCTATTCATATCGTGAACATAAGTATATTAATTGAATTCTTATTGCTTATAAAAAATTTAAGTATCAAATAACGCTATATGATCATTTGACAAATCCTAAGTTCTTCACAAGTGAGAGAAGTAGTGAAAAGCAAAAGATATAGATTCTTACTTCTGAAAATATGGTTTTCAAGACTTCCACGGCTCATAAACTCGTAAACAAGCAAATGTTGATCATCTTCGTTACAGTAACCTATAAGCTTAACAAGATTCGGGTGGTGAAGTTGTCCAAGAAAAGCAACCTCAGCCTGTAACCGAGGAAACATGTTTTGTTAGCAAATTTTCAGCATTCTCACCAACAGGTCCCCTTAATAACACAAGTCTTTACGAACCCAAAGCAGAAAATTTTACTAACCACCCATTCTCTGTGGCCTTGAAGACCATCTTGTTTCATGCTCTTAACAGCTACTGTAATCCCTGATCCAGGTTTTGCAGGGGCTGTCCCATTCTCTTCAATCCATCCTTTAAAGACAAAACCAAATCCACCTTCCCCAAGAATACTGTCAGGTCTAAAGTTTCCAGTGGCAGCCTTGAGCTCATGAAAAGAGAACTGAAGAAGTTTGCTTGTTGTTTTGTTATCTGATCGTGTTGAATTGGCATTATCAGAGGCTAGCTCAGTTTCATTTAGGGTACAGAGATCTCTGTTGCTAGCATTTAAATACCGTGTTTCGGTAGCTGCAATGACAAAGAGAGAGAATATGCTTAATCACAAAAAATGATTGTTTGAACTCGAGAACTAGTTTAATAAGACTTTTGCTTTAGATAAATATCAACAGACGATCAAAGGACCTAAAGTTTTTCAACCTCCGAATTCAGATCTAAAACATATTTACTTCCTGGGCATTGAACTAGTTCTAGCAGGCATTGCCAATCTTCTGCAAGCGAAAAAACAGATAGAGATTGAACTTAATGGTAGCCATAAAGAAAAAAAGTGATCGTAATGGAATCATAGTAACCCATGTCGGGATCCGTAATCTTAGCTACAAATGCCTAATGCATCAATGGAGATTCCTTCACGAAATGGACACCTTTTCAATATTAACAAGACAAAGAATTAAAAACCTGCAGCTTTTACTGACGAACAAGAAACTGAGGTGATGCATACTTTACACTCATTTTAAGATATCAATTAATCAGATCAATTTAATGCGTCAAAGAGAGAGGAAAGAACAGGGAGAAAAACAAAGTGAAGAAAGTGCAAATGAACTCAATATAGACACTCTACGGCACAGATGGACATAGAACATTATAAGGGAACCGAATTTCGAGCTAAAAACTCAAAATTTGGTAGAAGATACTCCAGAAAAAATCCATAGATACAACTAGAAATCAAACATGTAAAAGAAAATGGGTTGTTACCAGAATCATAAACTAGGCTAGTTCGAGGAATAGTGTTGGGAGAATCTCTGGAAGCAGAGGATTTGCAAACACCAGAAACAGTACGAGTCAAAACAGCCCAACAACCATACCTTTTCTCCATACCCTCAAGCTGCAGCTGGTTAGTTTCAGTTCTAATGGGGTGTGATTAGCATGGCGAAATCGAAAACATTAACCACACACAATTATGGGGGAGATGAGATGGAGAAGGGAGACGAAAAGGAATGGGACAAGAGAGAGAAAAGGAGAGGAATTTTGTTCGGGGGTTGATGCTGCTGTTTGTTGGGGATTGCAGGCATCATCATCGCCATCATCGCAGTGTGTACAAAAAGAACTTTTCTTTACCACCACCTTTTGTGTGGGGAATGGGATCAGTGCAAAATTACCAGAAATGCTTTGTCTATGGAAGTTATGACAATCAAAGAGGAAGCCCATCGATGTCTTTGTAAACAAACAGTTCCTTGGTAATGTTCCTCCCTGTTCTATTTTCCTTTCCCAATTCATTTCAAGCAGAAATTGGAACCAAAAGTAATGAATAAACAAATAAAAAGAATGGAGAAAAGCTAATAATATGCCAATAGGCAGCTACAAAGCAAAGGCATTGGAAATAAGTTAATATTCCAATTTCCATCCACCCAAATGCCTTTCCTAAGTGAAAACAAGTTCGGATACTAATCACTGTTTGGTCAAATCCAATGGAAAGTCAGTCAAGAACATATCTAAATGAAATCCTTTTGGATTTCTCTATCTGTATACGTGCAAGGAAAACGATGGGGCTGGATATATTCCAAAATGGGTGGGAGCTACAAGATTGCAGCCGATTAGGGACTTCGTGTCCAACAAAGGGTTTTAAATCGCAAATTCTCATAAGCAGAATACAAAATCCTTCTCTCCTCTTTTTTTTTTTTTTTTTTTTTTTTTTTTTTTTTTTTTTTTTTTTTTTTTTTTTTTTT